AAGCCACAGGTCATAGCATCAACTTCAATGGCACCAAAACCCTAGCCACTATAGAAAACCCTAGCCACAGAATCATCAGAGAAGCCATAGAGATTGAAAAAAGATATATATTGTACAATAAACATTTCAATAAATGGAAGCTATAATTGGTTACAGTCATCCACTGTTCTTTCACCTCTTCATACATGTGTTTGTTTCTTTTTAGCCTTTTTCCTTTATAATTTTATGAAAGAATGTGTATGCTTTCTTTTTTCTGTGTTTAGTTAATTTTAAAAAATTAGGAGTTCAAAAGACAGGAGAATTATAACTTTTAAAATCTCCTCATTCCCCCAAAATTTGCTTTCTCTGGGTCACTTCCCAAAATAAGATTCGGCATGGGACAATGCTGTAGCCATGGCTTTTCTGTATTCCATAGATAATTAACATTGCTGATGTTTGAATATATCTAGGATAGAATAGAATAGAATTCTTTATTGGCCAAGTGTGATTGGACACACAAGGAATTTGTCTTTGGTGCATATGCTCTCAGTGTACATAAGGAAAAAAAATATCTAGCAGATATTTTAGCTCCCCTTAAGAGAATTGATTAGTCTAGTGAGAAGCATCTTGGAGATTCAGTTAGTTCCTCTCCATTTTTTTTCTCTGCAATCATAAAAAGTGTTTTACTTTTTATGAACAGAAACCATAATATGTTAACTAATGTTAAGTACGCTACAAGATCACATAACAGGCTGTTTTTCTAGGGTGACCAATTTCCAAAGGCAATTAAGTTCTGCAGTTTTATTTATTAATTAGGATAAATTTATTGTGTTGTACACAAAAGAGTCAATAGCTCTGCTCATTGTTATTTTATATCATCCTAGTTTTTTTTCTGAGCGTTTTATCCTAATTGTTAAAGCTGTTTTATCTCCAAACACTTTCATCCTTTCGTGAAATGATATATTATTTTTATTTCCTCCTTTGTTTAGGTGATCAGAAACAATGGGGTAAAACAATTCTTCCATATTCTTAACAGTATTTAGAAAGATGTAGCTTCCCGTGATGTCCAGAGCCACAAGCAAGCCAAACACTTCTAAATGTGGCTCGTTACACAAACCCAGCAGTACTGTTTTATAAATTACTATGCTCTATGAGCTCATGCTGCTGGGCTAATTCAATATACAATGGTTCAAATACTTTATAATGCTTTGGTAAGACCACATTTGAAATATTGCATCTAGTTGGGGTCACCACAATATGTTGTGGTTAGCCAGCAGCAGGTGCAGATGGCTGAGGAGAGCGAGGACTCAGATGAGGGGCCAGGACCATTAGGGAGTGGACTGCTGCCTTTATAGATTGTGGGGGCTGGCAGCAGTGCTGAGGAGGTTCCCGAGGAGCCTGTGTCAAGTGCACATGAGCACAGGATTACTTGCAGGAAAGAGCAGCTACAACAGCACGGGCAACTCGGGAGTAAGGCTGCAAGGTAATGGGCCCTCCTTCAAGAAGATAAAAGCCAGCTGTGAACGAATGTATTTTGCAGAAGGCAAAGACATTTTGAAACTACAGCTTCCTGGACATTCCAGTATCCTGAGTTTGTATTTGAAGATTCTTATTTTGCAAATTATTTCTTGTCTGTTATCTTTTGGCAAGTCTCGCTCAGTTTGGCAAGGCTTGTGCTTATCACAGTTAATTATTCTGTAAAAGCATTACAAGGTTTATGTTCTTTTTGAATTGTGTTTGATTTGTTGGAAAAGGGTGTGGGTCAGAAAACAATATAAAAAAGATATTGAGACTCTAGAAAGAGTGCAGAGAAGAGCAACAAAGATGATTAGGGGACTGGAGGCTAAAACATATGAAGAACAGTTGCTGGAATTGGGCATGTCTAGTCTACTGGAAAGAAGGATTAGGAGTGACATGATAGCAGTGTTCCAATATCTAAGGGGCTGCCATAAAGAAGAGGTGTCAACCTATTCTCCAAAGAAGAAGGCAGGATAAGAAGCAATGGTTGGAAAACTAATCAAGGAGAGAACCAACATAGAACTAGGGAGAAATTTCCTGACAGTTGGAACAATTAACCAGTGTATTCTTGCCTCCAGAAGATGTGCTTCATCATGAAGGTTTTTAAGAAGAAATTGTGACTATTTGTCTGAAATGGTAGG